CCAGATCCCAGCTGCTTTGGGCAGCCACCGCCATATTTCTTTGAGAATCCCTTCCCGGCCCAGGGCTACCATCCGTCAACACCAACTGTCCTCCCTCACATTACACCGGAGGAGCAGCGTTCCGAAAATTACGTTGCACCCTTTCATCCGGCCCCAGACCAACAGCCAGATTTTGGACTGAAGTCGAACTATGGCACCCAGTCGCCCTACTCTTCGGTTTATCAGCCCAGATCGGCATTCGATACTTGCGATCGGAACGCTGTCTGTAACATTGAAGTTGGCGATGACGTTGCGAACCTTGAGACAGCAGTCTGCTACAGTTCGCCCTTCCCTCCGAGCGGCGGGCTATACGGGCAGCCGGAACTGAACTCAGTTCACAACTATCCTACTGGTAGGCTTTCAGGCAGCAGACTATTTTGTTCACTCTAATGTTTACAGCTTTCATTTGAATTATTGGTTTGAAAAAGTAGAGAAGCCAGAATATGGGAACCGCTGATGCGTCCTTTTTAAAGCATAGATTCAAGTCAGTCACTGCAGCTTCCCGACCTAGTGTACAACTTCCTAGGGTACCAAGAATCCTTTTATGGAAGGCTTCTATCCCCACGCCCCAGTTCCTTCCTTCACTTACCGTGGTAGTCTTCCTGCCCTCGTAGGTAGTAGCAGCGCCAGAGATGTTCTCGAGGTGCGATTCCATCACATCCACATATGTCTCCAGATGAATGCTTCGATAAAGTTTCTAGCCTGAGCACAGTACGGCTGCGATATTATATCCTGGACAATTTGGCCTTACTGTCCCTGTAGTACCTAAATGTGCCATCTCCGAGAACGCTTTAGAGGGTTACAACTGGCAGGTTCTTTTCCCTGCCGTTCGCTAGAAACAAAGTTTTGGAGATGTGTTCGGAGAATAGCACGTTACCCTCACCAATGATTACTCCCTTTTTCGTCTTTCTTGACTCGTCTGACTCTATCCACCAGTGACGCGTATCTCAGATCCCAATGATAACAACTATCTTGGTAGTACGGTACTATTAAGCAAATAGTAAAGGA